TTGCAAATATTTTCTCCCATTCTGTGAGTTGTCTTTTTAAATTTCGTTGTTGTTGTTGTTATTATTGAGACAAGGTCTCACTATATTGCCCAGGCTGGTCTCCAACTCCTGACCTCGAGTGATATTCCTGCTTTGGCTTATCAAATTGCTGGGATTATGGGCATAAGCCACCGCAGCCAGCCTGACTTTTCACTCCTGAGAATGTCTTTTGATGCAAAGAAGTTTTAAATTTTGATGAAGTCCAATTTCTCTTTTGTTGCTTGTGCTTTTGGTATCATATCTAAGAAATCACTGCCAACTCTAATGTCATACCTTGGTGTTGGGAGGGGGGAGGAATTAAAAATAAAGATTTCCCCCATTCTATTTTAAGAGTTTTACAGTTTTAGCTCTTATGTTTCAGTGTTTCATCTATTTTGAACTAATTTATGTATATGGTGTAAAGTAAGGGCCTAACTTCATTCTTTGCATGTGGATATAAATTTTCCTCAGCATCATTTATTGAAAAGGTATTTTTTTTTTTCCTGAATAAATGGTCTTGGAAGGCATGTCAAAAATTATCTGACCATAAGTAATCCTACTACTCTGGGAGGTGGAGGCAGATAAATTGCTTGAGCTCAGGAGTTCAAGACCAGCCTGAGCAAGAGCAGACCCCATCTCTACTAAAAAAAAAAAAAAGTAGAAAAACTAGCTAGGCATTGTGGCAGGTGCTTCTAGTCCCAGCTACTTGGGAGGCTGAGGCAAGAGAATCACTTGAGCCAAAGAGTTTGAGGTTGCTGTGAGCTATCCACCACAGCACTTTACCCAGGGTGACAGAGACCCTGTCTCAAAAAAAAAAAAAATTATCTGATCATATATACACATTTTTATTTCTAGTATTTTTATTCTGTTCCATTGATTTCTAAGTTGCCTTTATGCTTTTTTTTTGAGACAGAATCTCACTCTGTTGCCCAGGCTAGAATGCTGTGGTGTCAGCCTAGCTCACAAGAACCTCAAATTCCTGGGCTCAAGAAATACTCCTGCCTCAGCCTCCCATCTCAAGTAGATGGGACTACAGGTACCTGCCATAATGTCCAGCTAGTTATTTTGCTTTTAGTAGAGATAGGGTCTGGCTTTGCTCAGGATGATCTTCAGCTCCTGAGCTCAAGCGATCCTCCTGCCTCAGCCTCCCAGAGTGCTAAAATTAAAGGCTTGAGTAACTGAGCCTGGCCTGTTTTATGCTAGTACCCTCCTGTTTTAATTACTCTTGCTTTGTACGAAGTTTTGAAACAGGAAGTGAGTTGTTCCGCCTTATTTTTCTTTTCCATGATTGTTTTCTTTGAGAATCAGAGTTTTCATTTCTATTAACAAGGCGTGGGTGGCTGGTGGGGTTGCAGGGACTCTGCAGATCACGCTGAGCAGTGCTGTCATGTTGACAATGTCAGTCCTCCTGTCCGTGATCAGGGTGACTTCTCTCTTGATGTAAGTCATCTCTAGTTTCCTCCATCAGGGTTTTGTCATTCTCATTGTTCTGGTCTTTCATCTCCTGAGTGAAATTTATTCCTAGGTGTCTTATTCCTTTAGATGCTATTGTGAATAGAACTGTTTCCTGAGCTTCCTCTTCAGTTCCATTGCTGGTGTACAGAAACAATTTTTTTTTTTAAAGACAATCTGACTCTCACCCTGAGTAGAGTACTGTCATAGGTCATAGCAACCTCAAACTCCTGGGCTCAAGTGATCCTCCTGCCTCAGCCTTGAGTAGCTGGGACTATAGGTGCCTGCCACAATGCCTGACTAGCTTTCCTGTTTTTAGTAGAGATGGGGTCTAGCTCTTACTCAGGCGGATCTCCAACTCCTGAGCTCAAGCAATCCACCCACTTTGGCCTCCCAGAGTGCTAGAATTACAGATGTGAGCCACTGTACCCAGCCTGATTCCTTTTGTTTCTTTTTCTTCATTAATTTCTCTGGCTAGAACTCCAGTAAAATGTTGAGCAGGATAAAAGTGAACACCCTTGTCTCATTCCTGACTATGAGGGTAAATTTGTCGTCTTTCACCAAGGAAAACAAAGTGAGCCATGGACTTTTTCTAACCTACCACTGGGAGGAATGTACATCTATCCCTAGTTTTATGAGTGGTTTTATCCTATAAAAGGATGTTGAAATTGCTGGCCAAGAACTTTCTGGAACGTGCAACAGCCATAGGATGGCTCTGCTGCTTCCTCATTGGGGCCTTGGCCTGAGCCCAGGTATAGTAAGTGAACCAGTCCTTGGCTGCTATCACAAGGCAGCCCCCCATCCAGAGTTTGACAGCCAGGGGAGTGTCGTGCTCTGTGGGGAGTGGCCCTTGATTGGGCAGAGGTTGCATGGAGGCTAGACCTTCCCCATCCACCTTCCTCTCTGGTCTCAGGACAGGGTTGACAGCAGGATACCTTGTGCCCCTGGCTCCCCTTAAGGGTGGCCTAGAACTGGACCCTGAGCATCCACCTTCCCTGCTGTGGTAGTGGGGTCAGGGGCTCCGGGGAAGGCAGTTTGACCAGGTGGTCAGAGATTTCCAGGGGATACCACTCAAGGGAGAGCAGGTAGAGAAACCCAGGGGCTCTTAAATTCCCAGCCCTTTGGACATGCCCCTGGCTCCCTTCTCTGCTCATCCTTGTGGGCAGTCCTGGGGGTCCAGGAGCAGTGGGTGTGTGACACACTGGTGACCCTAGGACTCCCATCCCTACCCAGCCTCTTGCACATGGCTGTGCTCTCATTGGGCAGAGCCCAGACCCCGTTTGCAGCCCCCAGCATCTCCCCAATGTGAAAGGTTCTATAGGGAAGAGCAGAGGAGGTAAGTGGCCCAATCCAGTCAGGATATAGCTGTCTGGTCCCTGTTCTAGAAATTTCTCTCTGAGGTTGGCTGCTAAGCAGGCTTGAGTCGCTAGGAGCAAAAGGTCACATTTGGGCTTCTTGTAGCAGGTTGACAGTTTGCTCAGCAGACTTGCGGCAAGTGCCCACTGCTTGGGCACAGGCTGAGACCCCTGCTCACTGGAGTGGGGCTGGGAAGCAGCCTGGTGTCAGGGAGCAGAGTGGGTGGCCCTAAGGGCCCTGTGGCTGCCAGTGCAAACGCCTTATGGCCTCCGACACAGCAGAGGGTGGTTGGGGGTGGTGGGCTCAGTGGCATGGGGGCCTGGGCACTGTTTGCCAATAGATCTCTAAGGCTGAGTCAGCTGAGGCACCAGATCAGAACTGGGACCTCAGGTCACCTGTGATGGCCCCAAGGTGAGGAATGTTCACAGGTGTCCAGAGCTACAAGACATACTGTCATCAGGACCTGTCTACCTATCAGGACAAGGGTATCTCCCTGAGCAGAGATAGGCCACCCATGGGTTAGAGCCCAGGGGTCCCTGAAGGCAGGCCCTTTGTTCCAGCTCACAGACTCACCAATGGCCTGAGGGGTAGTGGCAGATCTGTCTTAAATACAGAGTGAAGCCCCTCCTCAGAGTGCCTTGCGGACCCCATACCCCCTGCCCTCTCTTCAGAGGTCCCCTGGGCTCTGCTCTCTACTTCTGGGGTCCTGGAGAGGGCCAGAGCCACCCATCTTGCATCAGGGGTATCCTGTTGTTGGGTTGCAGCTCTCAGGACCACTGAGGCCCCATGCCCTTAGACCCCCTCAGTCAGGGGGACATCAAGTGCGTAGGTGTCCCTGCGGTGTGGGGGACCTATCAGGGAGCAGGGGCAGCATTCTTCTCACCCCAAGGGGAGGGGGCCGCACTTCAGCTCAAATCTGAAGGGGGCTTGGGGGCCCCCGTGACAGCCTCTCCCTTGTACTGGTCCTTGGACTGATGTAGTACCTCCTGCTGCTGCCTGAGACGTCTGCTCAAGCTGCCCCGTGTGGCGGTAGGGGCAGCGTCCCTAGGACATCCTTCAGGAGGGGCTGCCCAGGCCTGCGGCTGACAGTGGGCTCCATGGGACTGCCTTGGGCAGACTTGCTGGCTCCAGGCTGGGCCCTCTGAGGCCTGTCTGTCCCTCAGCAGACACAGGGTGCCCTGTTTCCCAGGGCCCAAACACGGTCTCTCTGTTCGCACCTGGGCCAGCTGCCCCCCAGGCAGGCCGCAGGGGCTCCACACAGACCAGCACTTGTGCCCACCCGCCAGCCCCTTGGCCTGAGCTGCCATGTCCCTGCTAGCCCCCCCATCCCCTGCAGGGAGGCCACTGTAGGCTCCAGGCAGGGGAAGGGCGGGCCTCCTGCACTGAGCACAGCCTTCCAGCAGAGCCACTGGCTGGGCGGCTGTCCTGCTTACTCAGTTCAAACTGCCCCATCCTATTGCAACCAGGTCCTCCAAGTGTCCTGGACAAAAGATGATAATCTAGTTTCACTTGCAGTGATCAAACTGCAGGGTCCCAGGGTGGGTCTCTAGCCCAATCCCCCACAATGGCTGCTGAGGTCAGAGGTGTGAGGTTGGGGGTAGGGCGTCATAGTGAGGAAGTGCCTCAATCAGGGCCCAGGGAAGTAGGCAGACACATGAGGGTTGTGGGCGGTGCCTAGGAGGACAAAGTGTGTTTATCCATACTTCACTGGGTCTGGTCACGTGGGGGCAAAATGAGGCCCTGGTCAGCTTGGAGGTATGTGTGTGCGTGGGCTCTGGAGGGGAGAGACGAAGGTGAGGCTGTCCCCACCCAGGACGCTGCTGACCCCCCAGCCCACTGAGCTCCAAAGCCTCAGCTGAGGGAGGTGTCCAGGTGCTACACCTGCCGACAGTACAGCCTCAGGCTGTGGCCTGTGACACAAGGGTCCTGGTGGAAATGGCCAGGCTGAGGGGGTGCCTGTGTGAAGAGGAGCGGGGGAGAGCAGGGCAGGGCCAGGGGCTTCCTGGGCATTTCCCTAAGGGTCTGAGATTGCAGGGTCTTGGGACACAGGCAGGCTGGGGCTATAAGCCCCCAGTGTGGGAAGGCAGCACAGACCGTGCCTGCCTAGTCCTTCCTCTCCATGCCCCCATGGAGGTGGCACTGAGCTGGGGTGGGAGCACAGGGAGAGGCTTTACTCAGAGCAGTGAGGTCTCCTTTATTTCATGCTGCATGTCTGGACGATTCCGGCAATGGCCACTCCCGTGACCTAAAGTAACCCTCCAGGTCCTGGAGGCTGAGCGGGGGGAAGTAGGGGCCAATCCTCTTCCGGGCCCACCACTTGCCCTCAGCGGCGTGTCTCCCCCAGGGGCGGCTGAACTTGTATCTGTAGTGCTCTCCTCGGACCCACCTGCAGGGGGGTAGCATGTCAGTCTGGAGAGCCACCCCCTCAGGCCCTCTAAGCCTCTGTGGGCCACCCACAGGAGCCCCAGCAGCGCTGACGGGCCGCGGGCAGGTCCATAGCGGGCTGAGCATGCCATGCAGGAGGCAGGGTCTGAACTCGGATGGGCTTCCGGAAAGGAGACCCCTCAGGGGCCACACCTCCAATTGTCCACCCCAAGAGGGGCCAACAAGGCCAGTCATGAGGCCTCGGTGACCCACATGCTGCAAGTCAGGCAGATGCAGCATCTGTTGCTGGCAGATCCTGGCATAAGGCACCAAGAGGGGTGGGCAGCGGTTGGTGCCACGGGGTGGGGGGTGGTGAGTGGGCCAGGCTGTAGCCCCTAGGGCTCTGCTGTGAGATGTGCTGGTGCTGGGGGCCTTTCTGGTGGGGGACTCTATCCCAGCCCTGTGTGCTCCCTGATCGACCTCTTGTGGCCCAACAACTCCTCCTCCCACCTCCCATCCAGAGCCCTAACTGGGCCTGCTGAGGATCTGGCATTTTCTCAGGGTGGGACGCAGCCCTCTCTGTCTGGTCCAGGGTCACCTGGCTGCTGTCCTCCCAGTTTTGCAGGAGCTGGAAGCTGACTGTCCCAGCTGGGCAGATCCACTGGAGCAGGTGGGTGAGGACAGCCGGGCCAGGAGTCAGGACCCAGAGTCTCCCCGTGCTGACTGACACCAGAGGTTTGGACATAAAACAGACATGTGTAGGCTTCCAGATGTGCATGCAGCTGCATTCCTGGGGGCTGTTGGAGGCCCGGGGCTATGCCCTTGATGCCAGGCAAGGGCTGCTGCTGGGTGCCATGCCCCTTGGGCAGGGAGGGGGAAGAGATGAGAATGGTAGCTGGACCTGAGTGAACACCCCTCCCTCCTAGAAGAGCTGAGAATGAGAAAGCAGAATCCTTGGGGTGGGGGTGGGAGTCTAGGCCCCTTGAGAAAAGGAGAAGGACAGATGGCCCCCAGTGGAGCTGGAGGGCAGGTCACGTGGCTGGGTGGGCTCTCTGCTCACCGCCCACTGCCCTGAGGTCCTTGGGCTCTTTCCTTGGCACCTGGGCTGTGTGGAGGAACAGCAGCCAGTCTTGGGGCACAGCCAGATTACAGAGAGAGCGTGATCCCGGCATAAGCTACTGGGCTTTCTGGGGCAGTAAGGACCCCTCCCAGCCTCTTCTTTCCAGACTGGGGCCTCAGCCTTGCCACATGCAAGGGGAGGGGCCTCCCACAGTGGGCTGCACACTCACGCTGTTTGGATAATATTTGTTCACAACCAAGGGGCTGTGGTCCTTGGGTGGCAGGAAGGAGATGGCAGGAGCTAGAACTGTAGTTTGGAAAGAGCAGAGCCTTCTGTGCTGACAGGTCACTGGGAAAAGGGGCCTTGGCTCCCAGGAAGGGCCATGACGCTGTCCCCAAGGGGTTCCAGACAGTGATTAAAATAGGAGCTCTTTTAGCACATTTAAAACTGGATTCTACTGGTAACATCTTGCAAGAGTATAGTAGGAGATTCCAGCCAGGCCCGACAGGGACACATCCATTGTCTAGACACAGAGCACCCATTTCTCCCAGGCCCCAGCCCACCTTTCCTTAGCCCCTGCAATGCTCATCTACTTTGCTTTTATTTTGTTTTATAAGTAGACTCCTGCATGTGCACCTTCAAAATTGCTGTTCTCTCCAGTGTGATCTTCTGTGAGTCCAGTCTCTCTAGGAAGTGCATATCAATCCTTCGTTCCTTGCTGGTGACTGCAGTGTTTGTGGTGCAAATGCACCCAGCACGTTTAGTCATTCACCTGCTGAAGGACACTTGGGCTATGTCCAGAGCTGGGCTGTTAAAGCTACAAACATTTGTGCAAAGGTTTTTTTCATGAACCCAGGTTTTCATCTCTGTGGGTTAAATGTCTGTGAGTGCAATTGTTGGATCACACAGCAGCCACAGGTTGTTTTTTAGACACTGCCAGGTTGTCTTCCAGAGCGTCTGTAACATTTTACCTCCCCTCTACCCCCAGCAACATGTGAGCAATGTCATTTCTTGGCATCTTTGCCAGCATTTGGTGTTTTTACAAATTTTTATCTTAGCCATTCTGATAGGTGTGTAGCGATCTCATTGCATCTCTCTAATGGCTAACAAATGTCTTTCAGATGCTTCTCTGCCACGTGTCTCTCTTCTTTGGTGAAATACCTCTTCACATCTAGTGCCCATTTTTCTAGTTAGATTGTTTTGTTGTTGAGTTTTGAAAATTCTTTATATATCCTAGATTTTAGTCCTTTGTCAGATATGTGCTTTGCAAATATTTCCTCCCAGCCATAGCTTTTTAAAAAATCCTTTTAACAGGGTCTTTTACAGAACAGATTTTAATTTTGATGAAGTCCAATTTACCAAATTTTTCTTTTATGGATCATCCTTTTTTTTTTTTTTTTTTTTTTTGAGACAGAGCCTCAAGCTGTCCCCCTGGGTAGAGTGCCGTGGCATTACAGCTCACAGCAACCTCCAACTCCTGGGCTCAAGCGAGTCTCCTGCCTCCGCCTCCCAAGTAGCTGGGACCACAGGCGCCCGCCACAACGCCCGGCTATTTTTTGGTTGCAGCCGTCATTGTTGTTTGGCGGGTCCAGGCTGGGGATTCGAACCCGCCACCTTAGGTGTACGTGGCTGGCGCCTTAGCCGGTTGAGCTATAGGCGCCGAGCCGGATCATCCTTTTATTATGAAGTCTTTGCCTACCCTTAAACTCCCAAAGATTTTCTCCTATTTTTTTCCTAAGAGTTTACGGCTTTATTATGTTTTACACTGAGGTCCATAATCCATTTTGAGTTAATCTGTGTAAGGTGTGAAACTGGGTTGAAGGGTTTTTGGTCTTCCCTTTGGATGTCCAATTGCTGAAGCATCACTTAAGAACTGTCTTTTGCTTGCTTTCACACTCTTGTTAAAATTAGGTGGGCATATCTGGGTAAGAATACTGTGGGTTCTGTTCTGTCCCATCCATCTGTGTGTCTAACCCTCTGCCAGTGCCATACTGAGTAGATTACTGTAGTTCCACATCTTGAAACTGAGTAGACTGGTTCCTCCATGTTATTATTTTTCAAAATGGTTTTAGCTATTCTATTTCCTTTACTTTTCCATATGAAATTTGGAATAACTTGTCCTTATCTATAAAAGGGATTTTGATAGGAATTGGATTACATCTGTACATAAATTTGGAGGGTCTTAACTGGGCATGGTGGAGTGTGCCTGCCTATACCCCTAGAAACTTGGGAGGATCACTTGAACCTAGGAGTTGGAGGCTGCAGTGAGCTACAATAATGCCACTGCACTTCAGCTAGGGCAACAGAGTGAAACTCTGTCTCAAAAAACTTTTTCTTTTGGAGGGAGTATGTCCATGTGTTCACTGATAGTACATAGAAATCCAAAATACTGGATCTGGTCTAGCAACTGTCCCCAACACAGGCTAATAATACAGTTGCATGAATAATTCTGTGCAAGCATTAATAATATGCCTAATATATTAAGATAATTAATGGCATATGTTCACTTGTCATGGACCCTGAATACTTATTAGTCATTATTGTTGCTATCATAATGCCCTGTATAAAGCTTTGGCAAGGCTCTGACCATACTGAGCATTTTGCTTTCTTGCAGGGACAGAATGAGAACATGAGATGCAAGTCTAGGTGCCCATCTCCACACCAGCTGCCTAAATGGGTTCTCTGAGTTCCTCTTACCTCATGAATAAAGAGGGTAGAATACAGTTATTATATAGGTATAACTAAACATGTATTACCAAAAATGCAGCAATTATGATTCTAGCAGGAGGAAAGAAATATAAAAAAGAAGGAATGCATTTAAAAAATGCCTTGGTCAGGTAGATCTGAAAAACAAAAAATATAATTGAATTTTGAAGGCTGATCTTGTATCTTCTGATTTTCCTGAACTCACTTATTAATTACAGAATTTTTGTGAGTACATTCCTTGGGATTTTCTACATAGACAATCATGTCATCTGCAAATGGGCACAATTTTATTAGTTTTATTTCTCCTCTTATGATCTGTAAGCCTTTGATTTCCTTTTCTTGCCTTATCGTAGTGGTCAGTACTTCCAGTACCAAGAGTGGTTGGAGCAGACATCTTTTTCCTGCTCCTAATCCTATGGGGGAAGCATTCACTTTCTCCAGTGGGTATGATGCTGGCTTCAGGACTTTTCTGCAGATACTTTTTATCAAGCTGAGGAAGTTCTTCTCTTTTCCTACTTTTCAAAGAGTTTTTGTCATGAATAGGTATTAAATTTGTCAAAGGCTTCTTCCATAACAATTGATATGATCATATGAATTTTCTTTTTTAGTTGGTTAATATGGTGGATCATAATGACTGATTTTCTAATACTGAACCACCCTTCATTCCTGGAATAAACTGTATGTGGTCATGATATATAATTGTTTTTTAATATGTACTCTGAATTCTACAGGGTGGCCATAAAGTTTACGCACAATTTAAAATAGTGTGCAATTTAAAATTGCATACAAACTTTATGGACACCCTCTATTTACTAATATTTTGTTAAAAAATTTGTGTCTACAGTCATGAGGGATATTGGCTTGTAATTTTCTTTTGTAGTATCTTTGTGTGGCTTTGTTTTTAGAGAAACACTAGGTTCATAATATAAATTTAGACATTCTCTCTTCTATTTTCTGGTAAAGACTGTGTAAAATAGATGTTAATTCCTCTTGTTGTTCTTCTTTTTTTTGAGACAGAATCTTACTTTGTTGCCCTTGGTAGAGTGCTGTGGCATCATAGCTCACAGCCACCTCAAATTCTTGGGCTTAATTGATTTTCTTGCCTCAGTCTCCCAAGTAGCTAGGATTACAGGGGTCTGCCACAATTTTTTTTTTTTTTTGAGACAGAGTCTTATTTTATCACCCTTGGTAGAGTGCCATGGCGTCACAGCTCATAGTAACCTTAAACTCTTGGGCTTAAGTAATTTTCTTGCCTC